TCGTTCGCTTCAAAGAGCCGGCTCTAAGAGTCATTTCGTTCGCGACCGACCCATAACTAGTAAATAAACAATCGCTATTAGCCTTTAGCCGTAAATACGTGCGCGCCGCGGTAATTTATTATATGTGCAAATGTCATAATTCACACGTCTATTCACAGCTCATTTACATATCAATGCAGGTCCAGTAGCAAATATACGGCCAATATAGTCACTTTACAATAGACCAATAGAAAACAGTCTGTTTATGTGCGGGAGCTACAGCAGCTAACCCATAACAAATGATCAAAACTAGCTTCAAAGTCGACATATTTCCAACACTCACCGCTCATACAGGCTCCTCCTCACATCACAAATCTGCACTAATAAATGTCCTTTTAATCCAGACTCAAACCGATTGTCCGTAAAAAGAATATAATCTCAGTGTTGCGCACCGCTGCGGGTGTAAACAAACACACGTGAGTGACGCGACTCTGTGGTGTGTTCAGGGACAGTACGGACACACACAGACAAATGACTCCGTAGATAAATACTGATGCGGAGCCACATATTAGGACATTTATCTGTCTGTAAATTGGATTAAATGAACAGAATGTAGAGAGTCTAAGATTTTTAACATTGTATCAATGCCCACGTGAAATATCGGCCCCTATCAGCAAGCATATCGGCCGATAGCCGATATGCATCCAGGTGTCCATATCAGCCGATAATATCGGCCAACCGATATATCGGTCGGGCTCTAGTTTTGAGCATCATGTAAACAAAAGAAATGGCAGGTTGAGATTACTGACAAAATGTTGAATTGCATTTGATAAAAAGAAATCTGTTGCTATTAGCTGTTTTCTTGCAGAATTTATCATAACCATAAGTGAGCATGGATGCGCTTCCGGCTCCATCAATACATGCTCCAAATCACTTTGTACTGAGAAAACATCGCCCCCTCTACGTAACTGTTGCTATCACTCTCCTCGTTTTGGTCTTAAAATGTTTTAATTAACCCACTCTGCATGATCTTGGTGTTTTTATTCTGCTCTTTTGTCTGTAAACCAATTCCTATGCCTAATGTGGAACTGGCTCCAAATTCACCCCTAAAGCTACAACCCTTTATGACCTTTATTTGACAAGAATAAATAAATCCATAAATAAACATACCCTGACAGTCTAACATTCTTATCTATGCATGACACTCTCAAAGACAAACTTCAAATTGAACAAAGCTAGTTTCAACTTTTCTCATACCATCATTTTTGTACAATGAACTATTTTTTAGGTGATATTACATTCACCAAAAAAGTTTTATAAGCCACTTTTCCATGGTGGTGGTACGGGGTGGAGCTGAGTGGTCTGAAAGTGTTCCATTATCCAAAGTGCTCCATAAGGTCCGTTTAGAGGTCCAGTCCAGACGAGGCACCATAAGAGCTTTAGCACGGATAAGCTCCAGGTCTGCTTTAGCTAAGGAGAAGCAATGTACTGTTCAACACAATGACAGGACAAGAAGGAAGCCGAATGAAGCAATAATCAGATTTAGTAACCAAATAATTATTTTTTACCAAATGCTGACTTTATCTTCTGATGAACAGCCATAAAAGCTTATGATAAGCCAGACATAGTTTCCTGTTTATGCTAGGGTTACTTTTTGTTTACTACTGGCATCAGCCTTGTGATAATACCATTTAATTCAGGTACGATTTACATTTGATTAATTAAGAAAAACATTTGCTTGGGTGATGACAGTTTTTTAGTTATTTATTTGGTTTATTTGGCAGGGACAGTGAACATTCATCAACATTTCTGTAAATGTACCAGAATTAGCCCAAAAAGCTATTTTTCATCTCAGGTCCTTTCATGTAACAGACCCCTGTCCCTGGACCCAGTGCATGGAAACACACACCACCGTTAACCCTAACTATTCCAGACAGCTCCATGGTGAGCTGGTTATTATATTCATATATATGTTTACTTTATGCTTCTTTATACTATTTATAATATTACATTCATGTTTTATTACGTTTCTACTCAAAAATGTTGATTTCGTTCGTGCACCAGAGTCAGTGGAAAAACTAATACAGAGCACCTATAATTTAGTCAGATATTTGAGCATTCGGTTGCAGTGAGGACAAATACAATATTCCAAAACACCATTTTGTATTGTGTAACATTTGTGCCATTGTAATATATTTGAGTATTCACAAGAAGCGACAGAAAAAGAAGAGCCATTACTTCACTTCCACTGCAATCACAGCAATCAAACCTAAACAGGACCCTCCACAGAGCAGCGCAAACACTTGTAATCAAACATGAGCCAAATTAGTCAGGTGTTCCAGTTATTCAGGGACACCGAGACTGGGCTTGGTCACTGTTTCTTTTTGTGCCTGGCTCTGAAAATCGCATGTAACAATAAAATGGCAATTATGAAGCCGATGTAACAGCAGGATAGCATCGTTTTTGAAAGAAGGAGCGGAGGAGAGCTAAAGATAGCCTAGCGCGCGTGGCAGTGGTGGCGAGTTTAATAGCCCTGCTGACACTGAACGGAGGTGTTATCCGGCGCTTCGTCTGCCCGTGTCTGCCTCGCTCTCAGCTGGCCACGAGCGCGAATTGAAATGACAAGATGACATTTCCATTCGGTGCACTTTCCCTCCCCAAAAACACTCAGACATGTTTGCGTGCTGTGTGCATATATTTCACGGTACCATTTGTATTTGTTTCGCTGTAAACACTTTTGACATTGACATACTACAGTAAACGTGAAATATTATAAAAACATATATTCTAGAATGGGATGTGCTCTGGGGAAGCGTTCATTGTATAAGCAGATTCTGTTAAAAAGCCTGGATGTGGTGTAAAATGGAAGACAAAATTCCAAGAGTTGCTTGAATAATTTTCTGCATTTCCAACTAAGGTTAGGTCAGGGCAGGTTAAGGTATGCTGTGTTCCTTTTCAGGAGGAGCGTCAGTCATCAAATGAAAATGCTATAGCTTTGCCTGGAATGTTACATTGTATAGTATTAAATCTGGAGTTGGACTTTGTTTGTTCAGCTATTGTTACCTCCATGGTGAAACATAAGTTTAATGTAACTCCAGAAAAGTTTTTTCGGTCTGTATTTTATACGTCGCTTTGGAGTATAAGTTGCACCAGCCAAAAAATGCGTAATGAAGAAGAAAAAACATATATAAATCTCATCGGACTATAAGTTGCCTGTGACCAGGAACTGACATTTCATCTTGAAAGACAAGTTATAACATATGAACATTTATTCAAATAACTATGCACAACAATTTATCAAACTCTCAAACTTACTCCAAATCACTAAATCCACTGAAAACTCTTCTGCATAGCTGTCATCAGACTCAGCATCAGTTCCAGTTAGAATTATTCCGGCCTTTCTGAATCCTGACAGGATGGCTTCAGTTGTCACTGAAGTCCATGCTTTGTCGATCCATCCAGTGACTTGCAGGAAAGCTGCATGGCACACCCTCCCGGTTGTCACAAGTTTCTCGCTCACTCCAAACTTTCTTTTTGCTGCTCCATTACCATTTTTATATATTTCGCTGTTTGCAGCTTGTAATCTGCAAAATATTATTCTCTTTTAGAGGATATTTGTGTCCAGTCTTCTCAACTGTCTTTCTAAATTTGTTTAAATTTAAAATTTTCAGTGGTACAGAAGTAATGGTGCTATTGACTGACATGATCCGAGACAGGACAGCGACTCTTTCAGCAGGAAACATGCACAGTAGAGCCAAGTGTCAGTGGTACAGGAGTAATAGGAGTAGCAGATACTGGCACACAAGCCTAGCGCGCCCTCTCGGGGTTGTGAAAGTTTTAATATATAAGTCGGACCGGAGTATAAGTCACGGGACCACCCAAACTATGAAAAAAAGTGTGACTTATAGTCCAAAAAATATATTGTATACCTTTAATCACAGTATGTTTCTATGAATTATGCTGTATTCTGGAAATTTCACCCTGGTAATAATATGGCTGAAATTAAATTTAAATGTGCACTGTGTAATTTTTCTGGTGGAAGATGTGCCACCTGCTTGTCTCCATGGAGATGTTAATGCTTAGTCTGGAATATCCCAGTATATCTCCATGGAGAAGAGCAGGTGACAGACACTCCGCCAGAAAAGTTACAGAATGCACGTTTAAATATATTTTTATGAACACAGGTAAACAAGTAAAACATTATTTGTAGTGGTGCTTAAATGATCACAACTAGTCCGAGGAAGGAGAAAAACTTGGGAAGATCACTTCATGACATCAGACGATGGAGGAGATCTGTTTGCGCACACACGTAAGATTAGGAATGAGTGAGCATGAATGAAGAAATAACTTGCTTGTCACGCCTGTTTTATGGAACTATATTATTACATGACTAAAAGCTTTAAATGGTAACAGGGTTTTTTACCACAACTATGTACAACCAATCAATCCATTTGGTAACTTCTGGTCCCATAATATTCCTACTGTTACAAATCCTGACAAACCATTCTGTTTAAAGGGCCCATATCATGCTATTCTCTGATCTATGTTATAATGCTGTTCCCTCATCACAAACATACCTGGAGTTGTGTTTTGTTTCATTCACTCATGTTTGACACACAAACAAATTTAGGCTGAGTCCTTCTTAGAAAACCCGCTGTTCCACTTCGTGATGTGGGAATACAGGAAGTGCTCCACTCTACACACTCTACACAATTGTTTGGACAAGTTCAGCCGTGGAATTGCCAAGCTCTGCTGAAGAAAAGGTAAAAGTTCTTCATGAAAAAAACTACCTCTTCATGACATCACAAGGTGGAACAGAGCATTTTGAGCTATGAATATGTAGACAGACTAATGATAAACGATTACTCAAACATGTGTAAATAAAACACAACTCCAGGTTTGTTTTTGAGGAAGTAACAGCATTGTAACATGGCTAAAAGCTCACAAGAGTCAACTCTGGTGTAATACAGGATCTTTAACTGTCATTGTATTGAGAAAAAGAAGCAGGTGAGGGCACATACCTGAGCTGATGATCCCCGGATCACCTGGGCAGGAGGCAGTATTGTTGCACATACGTGTCTCTCGCAGTGCACCACTGCACAAGGTCCCATAAGGAGAGGACACACACGAGCGGGTGCGCACCTGCCAGCCCTGTCCACAGGTCAGAGAGCACATACTCCACTGGGACCACTCCTCTGCCGCGGGGTCTCCTGGATCACACAGTCAAGACAGAACCATGTCAATGAATGCAGCTCAGTGACTAAAGGGACATGCTTTCAACATCAACATGCTGAGTGTATGATGCTGTATTTGACTCCATTGCTGTACAGAATAGGTCCATGTTTGATTGTCAAATCTTAGAGTTACTGTAATGAATTTGAGGGTAAGGCTCTGAAAAAACAAAAACTTTAATTTTTATCCATCCTGATTTTCATTTAGATTTTTATTGTGTCTAATAAAAACAAATACAAATAGCTTCTGATAAAAGTTCTTGAATACAAACAATATGATTTTAATCAGTGCCATCTGATCCCAAATATAGTTAAAATTCTTCTTCCAAAGTTTGAACTTTGCTCCAAACCACATGCTTTTACTGACAAAGAATAATAACCCAAACATATATCATTCACGATTTGAAATAGACTGAATCTCCATTATCCAAATAATAATTAAATAATAATCTCCAAATTCCTTCAGTTGCACAACCCTGGTTCAGTGTGAAATAAAAGGCCACAACAATAAGCACTTTTGAAATAATATGTACTTGTTTGCTTTTTACTTCTGTACTTCTAATGCTCAATACAGATGCACTATGAGAAATTAAATGAAAGTCTATATAAAAAGTGGACCATCGCAAACGCCTTTAAAACTAAATTTGCACTGTATTGATTTTAATAAAGTGCTTGAGGGCCCAATGGTCTTGTAATAAGTAATGAGTAATAATGCGACTTGAGATGTAATATTTTTATTTGAAAGGTAATGCTTTTATGGCCTTACAGACGGCACCAGTGAATTTAATATCTTAGTGGTTCTTAGACTCTTTGTTAGTGCACGCTTGGTTGGATAATTGCACTCACAGTAAATAAATACCAGATATAAGAAACAAATAGAAATAGTCTGAGCGTTTTTCTACATAATGATCAATCTAAATTTTCGATTCAATTTTATTTGTTTCTTTTCAAAAAGAAAATTGCCTTTCATAAACATAAACAAAAACAACTTTTAATCAAAAATTAACACAGAAATAGTGCTTATTTCTCCAGTGTCTGAACTCCACTTCAAACAGTATGGTTAGTGACAGGATAGGCAAATAAAAAATAAACAAGCATATCACTGACAATTAGGCATGACTGAATCTTGATCTTGATTGCAATCTGAATAATTGGCCAGCCCTACCTAAGACCTACCCCAAAATGCCTCAGGTCCCTTGGATAAGACCACTGAAGTTGCAAGACAACAATTAAACACTAATTGAATTACAGGGCTCCTTGAATATTCATGGCGGTAAAGCTGCATGACGTTGGGCTCTAAGGTGATAGAATAATAACCCATATGATTTATGAGGTGAGGGCTGGAGGGCTGTGTATGATCAAACGCACAGTGAAATGTGCGTGTTTGCATGTGTGTGTAAGTGTGTGTGTATGTGTCAGTGTATGTGTATGTGCTGTGTTCTGGGGCATGGATGAAGATGACTATTCCTCCTGTCTGATTATTTCCTCTTCAGCGAGTCTCGTCCTTGAAAGAGAAAAACATTAACCAAGTGGCACCCCATCCTTTCGTTCCAAATAGTTTATGAATGCCACGTCCTTTGATGGAGGCGTCATCACACGGCAAAGGAGGAAATCAAATTAATTGCATGTCCGTTAATCGCATTACATCTTCATTAACATGCTCTGAGTCAAAGCTTAAGCTCGTCACAAATGCCTGCAGGAACGATGGAACGCAGCTCGAGAAGAGGAAGAAGGGAGGGGACAGCAGAGGAGAAGACACAGCCAAGGGTTTCCTCACAGGGGGACTCCTTCCACTGCACTCCTACTGCTCCTCTGTGCCACTGTATACACACAGCTTTAATGAGACGATATCATACAGGAGATAGAGGACTACATTCATACCATACTCCATACAACAACTCAACCTTATAGAATAGATAACTTTCTGCCATGTAGGCCTATCATGATAACAAATTTTGAAGTATGATATATTACTGAAGAAAATACAGATGATAAACGATAGTACTGAAACTAATCTATGCCACTGACACAATAAACTTGAAGCAGAATTATCTCCCAAAATATTCTAAATGTACTAGTCCATCTAAAAAAAAAAAAAAATCATGAAGAAGTTCAATACTTTTTGTTTCTCATTTTAAAAAGTCAAACCCATAGATTACCCAGACTCATGGCACAGAGTGAAGCTTTCACTCTTTGTGTCATGAGTCTACATAATATATGAATAATATATAGACTCATAAATATTTTCGTGAAAGGCTTACTGCCATTTCTGTATTTTTACTTGTACATACATAATTATACCTTTTAGTCTAGGTCTAGTAATATACATAGAAACACTAAGTCTAAGTCAGAGTCATATATACAAGCACTCCTCACATACTCTATATACAGAGAGTTTTAATTCATTACAAGACTCATTATTCAACTTCCGCAGAACTTGAATGTGGCACACAAGCTTAAAATCACGCATGCCAAAAGGTCAATTAGCCATTATTATCGGCTGAACTCCACTGGAAATTGTGCATCATAGCCCCTAGGAAATACTGGATAATTACTCATTCAATACATTTCTCAATACTATTGTTGTATGGACAGCTAGCACGCTGCTCGATTTTATAAGTATGCCTTCATTATCCACATTGTAAATCAGGATTAAAAATCAATATTTTATACAACAGTTATAAAAAGTCTTGACTAGATATTTCTGTGCAATGACTAAACAGGCTACAAAAGGCAGTGCGAGCACCGTCTTTGGAACTAAATCTTATTCTAGCAATTTATATGCAAAACTAAACAAGCTTTTGATTAACATTTTGTTTACTTCATTTACTGAGAGCATTACAGGAGCTAGTAAGAAAAATAAAGTGAAAATGTTCTACCCCATTGCTGTTCTGTCTTCAAAGAGAGAAGCAGGTGACAAACTCCTATACCAGAAAAGTTACATTGTGCATCTTTACCAATATTGTATGTAAATGTTTCTGTATCCATCTACAGCAGGAGAGGAGCAGTGAGGGGCTGAGCATCGCACTATTGATAATATTGTTGGGTTGTCCCGAACTGGGAACATCTAGTCACACACATCTCACACACTCACCTGTCTGTGCCTGAAACACACCTGGCTGGTCGGCCGATCGTGGTCTCTGGGTTTTCACTTTGAGGTCGTCGTCATCATACAGATCTGAAGAGAAAAAGAGATACATTTAAATTGATTATGATGCCTGCACTCATGTAAGAACTTGGCGTGATTATTGCAATGCCTAAGTACTCACATTTGGTCATATGCACGTTGTTAATGTATATTAGTGTCAGTGTTTAATTTCAAATAGTATACAATTTGATTTGATGTTGTTTTTATCTTGATGTGTTTGTTATTCTGTCTTAAAATGCATATGACAGGTTTCATGATTTTCTAATTCTGACATAACTTGGTGGACTAACACATGTTGTAAATATAAATGCTAGTTTTACACCAATCAAGAAGCAATTTGTGAAGAAAAGTTGAAAAATATGTTGAAAATTACAGGAAGTAGAGAGTAACACATATTGATGACATCACATATTGATGAATTGTATCCAAAAGTTCTGCACAATTACACCTACGAAAACTTAAAAAAAAATACTTACTACTACTACTACTTACAACAAAATAAAGGTGTTTATATTTGTATAATCATATTATAAATTTTCTGTTTACACTGGAGGAGTTTAGGCCCACTGCGTAACATGGTCGCTTGGTAACAGTTAAGTGATATAATTTATACTCAGGAAGTAAAATTTTAAACCCCTTCAAAAATGTAATTGTGTAAAATCTTAAATATATTGATGTTACCTGTGTTTTAAACAAACAGATTGTTCAATCTGTAAGCACTTTAATGTATTAATTTGTCTGTGCATTGTGTTCTTGGCTGGTGCTGTCCATTTTGTTATGAGGAAATGAAAAAAGAAAATAAAGAAAAGAAACAAGTCTATAATGCAAAGTCTGCCATTGACAATTTGTTTTCATTCATTGACATCCTGTTTCTGTTTCATTGCATTTGAAATTCCAGTTTGATGTTGCAACACCGACATTCTAGCACACATCATTTCAAATAACAGGTATTGTCAGGTCTGCTATTTGAAAGGGAATCAATACAACTCCAGTGTTGTAATAGGAGGGAGCTTTTTCACTCGCAACTATCTATAATTTCTGCAATCATTCACAAAACATGTTAAAAGTTGAATTAAAAACAATGTAGTTGCCCATTTTTTCAGCTCCAAGAGAAACTTAATTTGATTTAAAAGATCATTTTCACAGAAGTACTTTTTTCCCCATGGGGATATTTCAGGAGAATTTGTGCAAAGTACCAAAGAGAAATGCATTCCAAGTTCAATTATCCACATGAAACCATTTTTGTGTGTGCGCGTTACAAAACACCCTAAAATGAAGACACTAAATGACACTAAAATGTTCTTGTAGCATTTATGAGGCGAGGGGCATTTCAAGCTACAGATATGCACACGCAGCATAACTAAGATTTGCTCACCCCTTAGTCACACTTGATAATAACTACCTTAATTAGCCTTAAAGGGCCCATATTAAACTATTTTCTAATCTGTGTTATAATGAAGTTTCCTCATCAAAAACATACCCGGAGTTGTTTCTTTTAACACACAAGTTTAACTCATCCTGCATATTTAAAATGAGTTCGTCTCTAGAATGGAAACCACTCTGTTCCACCTTGTGATGTCATGTCGTAACGAACTGCCTACACCTTCACTAGAATCATTTGGATAATTTCAATCCTGGAATTGTCAAAAGGTAAAAGGAAGGTGGTAACTTGAAAACTACTACTTCATGACATCACTAGGTGGAACAGAGCATTTTGAGCTTTGGAAATGAAGACAGATTAATAATGCAGGGATGCTCAAGCATGTGTCAAAGAAACACATCACGACTCCAGGTATGGTTTTAAGCAGGTAACAACAATTTGACATTGTGTTAATCTCATCAGAGTCAATATAGCAAGAACAAAGACTTAAAGGTACAGTATATAGCTTTACCTTTGCCTGAACTATGTGCCCTTCCAAATACTTGCCCTGTACCTGTAGCCTGTGGCTTTATATCTGTGTGTACTCCTACCACTCCATAGTGGTTCATGAACTTATTCTAGTCTATGTGGTCTTATATTTGTTCTGATAAAACTCAAGAGCATTCTGAAGTTTATTTCTTTCCTGTGAATGTGACCTTTTAGTATCAGTATTAGTGATTTTCAATACTTACTTAAAGAGCTTTTCAGTATAGCTAATTTGTGTCACCTGCATGTCTTCATGGAGATAGATAAAGCTGTAGATAAAACAGATTTAATCCGGAACATTCTAGGCAAAGCAATCTCATTGGAGACAAACAGGTGGACCCTAAGATGGATTCAGACTTAATCACTACATATTAAGGGTTTAAGGTTAGGATTAATTACCAAGCCTGAATCCATCTTAATAAAGCATTTTTCATTATGGACTGAATTTCTTCATACTTTATTAAGGCTACTTAGGTGTAGCTATTCTAATTTGGCCTGTGTCTGTGGTGGACAAATGTCTGTCTTATTTGATTCCACATTCTTTTATTCACTCTACGCCTCTCTCATTCTTTGGTTTGGTTTTGTTCTCAGCAGGGTGACTTCAACAAAAGCCCAAAACAACATATTTAAACAGAAGAACAGCGTGTTGCAGTGTGCAGGGAGACTGATATCTTCTGCAGCCTACTAAACTGCTGTGCCGGGGCTTGTCGTACATGGTTAACGAATATTATGAACAGTCAGAGTATTTTAAATGAAGGGACGGGGCATACAATCTAGTTCGACAGCAGGTACTACTAAGAAAGTATTGAGCTATAACTAAATACTGTTTTGCAGTGGTGTGTGGTCAGGGCAATTAAGGCAAGCAGTGGTTGACCAATAAAATCTAAAATCATCATGTGTCAAAACTAAATAGTTTTGAATTATATCAAAATAATTCCGTTTTCTCTTCACTTCTGTCCATTTGAAACATGGCTGTAGTGGCGGTGTCCTTTACTACACTCTTCTGGTCCCTGAACAAAATTGTAACAACCGCACCTCCGAACGTCCCATTACCTTGTGCTGTTTTGCCTTTCTACGGTGGCCTGGAGGCACATGTTGAGAGCGCAGCTTATACTTCCATGCTTTCTGCACGCGCTCTTACAACCAGAGAGGCCAGCTGGTTGTTTTAGAGGTTTGCACATGTGTACTAAGGACCTCAACTGGCTCAAACAGAGCTGAATAAACGCATATCATCATTCACGAGAACTGGAGATATGCAGTTAGCACTAACTTTCAACACGAGTGTCACAAAATAATCCGCTTTTAGTGACAAGTCATTGTTTGTACTTTTGCGTTTGTAATGATTAGATGTTAGTTAGAAATACAGGCCATCATTTAACGAAACAGTGAGCTAGTTTCAGGGTTAGTTTGTGTGAAATGGAGGAAGTGAGTGGCTGTTGCAGCAAGGATTCCGCTTCGTCTCGTGTTTATGAAGGAGCGACAGCGTCAGTGGAATAACAGCACTATTACACAAGTGTGGAGGAACATGTGTCTGTTCTTGACCTACTCCGCTTCAGGGAAATACAGGACTTTTCTTCAGGAAAGATGTAGTTTTGCACCATTGTGAAGTAAGTGATAGCGCGCTGTTCTAACATGATGTGTGTGACATAGCACGCTGTATTATAAGTGCACCTGTCTGACCAGTGCACTGTCGTTGTTAGTATCTCTTCAGGATCTTCATGAATGTACATTTTGTGTAGTGCATTACACATGTGTAGAGCTGTCATATGTCATTCATATGGATTCTAGATGCATAATAATAATAATACAAATTACATAGACAGCAATAATACTGAAGGCTCAGCTGGATAAATAAGGTGTAGGAATAGGACAAATCTGTGAAGAAACAAATAGATGACAAATAACCCTGTTTGTACAAAGAGTGTGTTAAATACAGCCCAATATACAAATAGTAATAAACTGGGTAGGTCCAGGTCTCTCTAATTTGATCCTATATACTGTTTACTGGCTCTGTATGCATTTAATATGTCAGTAAAATAAATACTCATTTGCAATGTGGTATATACAAAATTTTGCTAGATATTCTAGTGACTAAAAATATAAATCCAAGAATTAGTAATATATTTTTGTACGAATTATGGAAAATCACTGTTGACAATTGTCTATAATGAGTAACAAAAAAGTAATCATGTTGACTGACCATGTCCATTCCCAGTTCCAAGTATAACTTTAACTCATTTCTTTTGCAAATAATAATATAGACTTGACAAACATCAACAGAGAAAAAAAGTTTTTTATCTAAAGTTTTTCTTTCTGTATGCCTTAAACTTGGATACTTCCCCCACTTGGATACTTTCTGTACGGAATATATAACTATTGTGTAAAATGTAACCTTATGTTGTATTATTGCGTGTGACTGGCCAAATTTTTTACTCACAGTACGCTACTTCATTTTGCCATACAATATGTTTTGCTTTTAGGAAAATAAAGTTGGCGCTTGTGGCTGCAGGCAGTAGAAATCGAAAGTAGCTATCAGGGAATCCTGCTCATTTTTATATAAACTATGCATAGTGACAAATTTTACTGTGTCGCCCACAAATTTAGCATATGCCTCAGTATAAACCAAGCTTTATTCTTTCACTGCCGTCCAGACAAAACACCCTGTATCTTCTCATTTCACTTTCATTTACTTCTATATCACAGAAACACTACGCTTTTTAGGGCTAATGGTTCATTTTTCAGCATTTCAGGACTGAGAATGACTGTGTATTCTAATCCATCTCTCTTTTGCTTCTGAGCCAGCGGAAAAAGGGCCAGAAAAAAATGAACGTTGAAAATTACCTGGTGGATTACGGTTGGATTTGCTACTCCACGCTCTCTTTGGTGCATGGCAGGATGGAGCAAAGAGAGGGAAAGGTATGAAGCGAAGGACAGTTGAAAGAAAAGATCGATATGGATAAAATCCTTCGCGGCCTGATCTTTGTAGACCTCGCTATATTGTTTAATGTTCTGGACTGCCTTTTAATGGACACATCATCACGTACTCCACAACCTAACTGTGTCCCCTTTCCGACAATTTCAGCTATTTTTCTGATCTCTGGGGAATCTGGGCCTCCCTTCATCC